ATGTCAGAAAATTGCTGTCAGAAGTGCATGTTGTTCGGTTTTTTCGGCTTCGATCGTCGTCTGCAGTGAAACAGAAAATGAAGAAAACGATGGTTGGATTCACTACATCCTTCCCGATATACTGTGTTCGCACTTTGGGGGACCATCACGTACTGGTTGCCGGCGGAGGGGGCCAGGCGAAGTCCGGAGTGCCGAACCGGCTTGAATTGTACCTGATGGAACATGTGAACAACCTATGCAAGTTGTGCAAGGTAGGCGTTTTGGACACAGGCGTGGCTGCCGCCATGAACATGGACGTTTACACCGTTTCGGCCAAAAAAGGACAGTTTCTAATTGCCATCGGACAGGAAGGTTAGATTCAAATCATTTCGCACCGGCAGCTGTTGATAGCCGTTTCTGCTTACTCTTTAACTGTTTTCTCTAATGCCGACTGTATCCATTTGGACATTTCTCTAATGCTGCGTAGTGTCACTCATTGCATTGAGGCTCAACTTCGATGACGTAGTTGGACCGGAGGTATGCCTTCTGTTGGACCGATGCCTCGTGAACTTCTCTCGCCTCTCAGTTTGCAGTGTTCCATTCGAAAGTAGGGCCTAATGAACGTATATATTTTTCACCTAAGGAAGAGCAACACCGGTGCTTAATATGTTTTCATTTGCGCCAGGAATTGGAAGGTGCCTTGTCTCTAGATTTTATGCATGTGAATTTACCTCGTAACTGTAGTCAGTAGCAGTACGTATCACCTTATGTTTTACTGTAGGCAGTCAGTTTCGATGATTATTTATTTTTTGTGTCGCGGACTAAGCTGCGTCGAATCCTGTGTCCAACATTCCCGATCCTGACCCAGCGTCCGAGCTTCGGTAGAAGAAAAGGAGGAGAGGTTGGGGCAGAGTTCTTCGAGACATGGCCCAAGTTATTCTTTGAAGTCCTCGGCTACTTTGGTCGGCCAGTTCAGCAAGTAATAGCATCACCACCTGTTCAACTTCCATTGTGGAAGAATTCAAGTGCGAAGAACTGAGTTAACAATTGAAGTTCATATTTTCGTCGAAAAGAAATGTAAGTTTTATGTAGACATTAAACACTTAGGGGTGCCCTATCAGTATAGAATACGGCGCAAAATATGCAGTGACTTGCATATCGTCACAATAAATTACCTGCGAAACGGAGGACAACTAGTGCAGTTCTCCAGGTCAACAAAGCCCATAAAAACAGGATGGGTGAACTCCCACGATTACTTTACAATCTGATGTAAGCCAAGATGTGATCAGAGCTGCCTCGGCCCTAATTGAAGCTACGCTGCTCTTATATCTTAGAGTAAGTTATTCCGACACTTTTATAGTACCTCTGCGTAGACTTTACCCCGTGGTCTCAATAAGATAATGCTTTGATAATTGGAACACACCTTATGGTCTCCCTTCTAAACTACAAGACCCTCGTTCTCAAGTACGCTGGTGTCTTCCTCGCATCCGTAACAGTTTAACAAGCATGGTAGCTTTGTTAAGAATGCCATGTTCGCATAAAGCTTTAAGCATCTCAGGGCGGATTTCAATTCCAGCAGCCTTTCCATTTTTCAAGCTTTTCACAGCCTGTGCAATTTCATCTACAGAGATAGTAATATCCGTAC